TACCTGTCGCCTTTCAGCCTCCCGGACGCCGATGCGAGCAGTAGCGGCACGGGCGGGGATTCAAACGCGGGGTACACGGAAACCGCCGATATCGATGACCGCGCAGCGTACGTTAATTTCGTTGTCAAGGGCGCGATACCGATAACCCTACAGGCGTTACGTGATGCAATAAATAAAGATCGCATTATGAAAAAGGTTATACATTATGTTTTAGAGGGATGGCCAAAAAAAGTTAATGATCCAGAGATAAAACCCTATAGTTTATGTAAATTAGAACTGTCATATGAAAATGGTTGCCTTATGCGTGGTCATAAAATAGTTATCCCTGGATCGTTACGTGATAGAGTGATATCGGAGCTACATGCATCACATATGGGTATTGTTAAAACTAAAGCCGAAGCTCGCTCTCGGTTTTGGTTTCCAGGTATTGACGGCGTCCTTGAGCGTATGATTGGCTCTTGTGAAATATGCATGCAACTACGAGCAGCGCCGCCACGCGTACATATTTCTCCGTGGAAATATCCTGCTGACCCTTTCCGAAGAATACACCTCGATTTCCTCGGCCCCATCAACGGACATATGTACTTGGTGATCGTTGATGCGTACTCCAAATGGGTCGAAGTCTGCCGCATGAATACTACTTGTGCTTCCATCGCAGTTATAGATAAATTATATGAATACATGTCAAGGTTCGGTCTTCCAGAGACTATAGTGACTGATAATGGAACATCGTTTTCGCTCCCGGGAGTTCTTAGACTTTTGTCATCTTAACGGCATTACGCATATCACGTCACCTGCCTACCACCCGGCAAGTAATGGACAAGCTGAAAGCTACGTGAAGGTAATAAAAAGGGATATTAAGTCTAGTTTGTTGAGCTGCAATAATGTTAAAGAATGTAATTTAAATCTTTTAAAGTACATTTTCGATTACCGTAATTCGGTCCATTCCACGACGGGTTTATCTCCTGCGCAAATAGTTTTTGGTCGTAAATTGAGATCGCGGTTAGATATATTAAAGCCAGCACCATCGCCGCCCCCTGTCTTCCTCACTCGCTAAAACAGTCCGATCAAAACAGTGTTCACAGGTTAAGTCGCATGGTGGGAAAGAAAAAATGTTTTTACCCGGACAATATGTTTTATATAAAAAATATTTGAATAAAAATAAGTTCAATTGGTGTAAAGGCGTAATTATACGAAAACTTGGTAAAATCATATACTTAATACGAGACTCTTTGTTAAATACTGTTGTAAAAAAACATGTAAATCAAATAATTTTATATAAACCTGATACCCCAGGTAGTTCAGTATCGACACCGGCGTCATGCGTATCTATATTACAGCCAGATTCGCAATGTCATGACCAAGTTCGCGAGCTGGGAGAGGGGGATGGACCCGAGGACAGAATATTAACGCCTGCGCCTGCAGCTGAGACTTCTAATGAGAACTTGACGAATTATAATGACTCTTGCCGCCAATCACGATCACCCTCACATATAACAATAACGCGAGGAGTTCGGCGTCCACAGTCGTCGGATGATGAAGAAGAGGTATCACGGGCACAAGAGTATCAAGTGCCATTAAAACGAAATCGCCCTAAGGTTGATTATAAAAAGTTTTTTTTAATATGTTTTAAATATATTTACATATATGTTATATATGTTAGTTCTTTTATATAAGGTATTACATATTATAAAACCCTCACTATAGGGGGAGGAATGTTGTGTATTATACCTGTGCGCGGCTGCGTCCGCGCCCAATAATAATGTTTGCAATTAAAGCAGTACATCAACAGCCTTTGAGTGTTTAACTAGTCCCCTGCGCTCCGTATCCGCGAACATAACAACCAATATTATGTGACGTGTCTGATGAAGTAGGTGGAAACAGAGAAGTTGACAACTGTGTAAGCAGTGAAGAACATTATTATGAAAGTTATCAAAGACTGGCTTCAATGCGTTTTATGCCAATTGTGGTTCCATAAAACTTGATCCGAGTTTGATAATAAGCGTTCATTATGTGGACAGAAAAGAAGAATAAGTTTAGACTAAAAAACCTATAGGAAAAGAGTGGATGAAATGCTGATTAATAAACTAGAAATCTATTCCTTGTTAATATGGTCATCTCTACCGGGCACTATGCGAGAGATGGCCAAGCGTTATTTGGAAAAAAAAAGTAAATCATGAGACTGATTATGTTGAAGTTCGATAATTTTATATGATATTCTAAGAGTTTAATATCGAAAGTTTAATTAAAAATAAATTTTTGTCAATTAATCCCTGTATCTATATTATTTGTTATATTATATAGTTGTATTATATAGTTTTAATTTTATTGACGTCTTAAAAAAAAAGTATGGCCAACTCCCCCGGACATATCCTATATTTTGTAGGGTTCTGTTTAAAGCCTCTACGCCACCCTTATGAGCCATGGTTATTTCATCCCACATTATCATTTTCGTATGTTTTTATACTTCAGCAAAATTAGATTGTTTCAATATATTACAAATGGGAGTATAAGCTGTTGCTAAATTGAGTGGTAACTTGAACGTAGCATGAGCAGTTCGTCCACCCCCAAGCAGTGTAGCTGCGATCCCAAAAGAAGCCACAGCCAAAGCAATTCCTCGAGTACTTCTAACTTTTGCTAATAGCAAATTTATGAGGAATGTTTTGCCTGTTCCACAAGGCAGCATCTAAAAAAATATTTCAATCTCATTTGATTCAATTTTTATATTAATTTGATTGTAAATTACTTTTTGTTCGTCATTCAGTGATCCTTTATTATTTTTAACTGTGTTTTCTAATGATGCTAAGTCGTGACTTGTCTCTTTAAGAAACTTTGTACAACTTGTGAAGATTATTATTATGTAAATCTGTAATAAATGTTGATTTTCTTTATAAAAATTGTGTTTTTGTTTATACCGTTACAACCCAAAGTCCTACATATAGTGTCAATTTTTGGTACCTACTTATCTAATATTAACCCATAGGCTTTTACAAAGAACCAAAAATATGAGGTCTAAACTTTACACATAGGTCCTTTGGTAAGTTATAAAGACACTAATGAACTATATTTCAAATAAAAACTGCAACAAAAGAAAATATAGCGTCTTTTTGTTTGGGTCTGGATCTTTGGGTCGTAATCTAAGATAAGCAAATATTTTCCTGAGCCTTACGAGGATAGATTTTATTAAAATGTTTTGAAAATAACTTTACTACATTTTAATAATTTATTTTATATTTTAAGTATTTCTATTTTTGACTATTTAAATGCTTTGAGCGCTGAATACTCTTAATTTTTTAGTTTTTACTGTTTCCAACATATCAATCAAACCGTTTGGTCTGAACTTCGTTCATGGCGTTCAATCTCAACGGAGGCTTGTCATTTATGTAGGACATTGGGATATTACGTACTAACTTTTCGGTAGATTCCTAATCTTCCCCAGGGAATACAACGACAAGATTATGTATCATAATTGTGTGCGCAAGCATAGGTGCATTTTCTATCCCCACACTCTCATAGGCCGATGGGAGGGTAATCCGACACAAATATAGAGAGATCAGTTGCAGAACTAACGGCTTTACGTGCTTTCTGAAACACATAGATGAAACACTGAGAATTTCTGACTGATTTTGGGCCTGATCACACCTATTATTTAAACGTCAAAAGATTTTCCTCAACTGAGTTTAATTTTTGTTTTCATTTATTTACAGAATAAAATATAATATAGATACGTAATTATATTTACAATTTTTATGTAATAAGGTTATTAATTTTAGATAGGCATTGGATTGTAGTTTTCATTTCAAATATTTTTAATATTAATGGGAATATGGTGCCGCATACCATAGTTCCAATAATTGGTGATGGAGCTTACTTACTTAGGGCAATCTCTTTAATTATCTTCGAAATCAAGTGTTGGCGTTATTTTGTTGTCATTTTATTGTTTATTTATAATATAATACACTAGTTGTGAAATGAAAAAATGAAACCGACTCTGCATCTAAAACTAAAAGCCTTTTAAGTCAAAAAGTATTCTTTTAGTTATTAGACAAAATAGTGGTAAAATAAAACTTCATATAAATAATGATAATAATGTAATTTTTTTATTATATAGGATAGGGTGACAAACGAGCACACAGTCCACCTAATTGTAAGTGGTTGCTGCGGCCCATAGATGTAGATGACATCTTTCCTAATATCCTAATATAATAATTAAATGCAATATCAGTCCTAAGAATAACATACAATGAATGTTGAAATTAGAAAAACACATTAACACTTTATTATACACTTGACAGACTTATATATATATATATATATATATATAAATATTCTCAAAAAATCGGACTACCTCCTACCCTTACCTAGGTATCGTCAATTCTACGCTATGGTATACTGATACGCTGTTGTTGAATTCGGTTAAGATGAAGCGGGCATTATAAATACAGAAAAAGTGTATAAGAAAAAATTTTCAATGTTAAAACAATTAGGTTTCTTACTTAACACGTTATATGTTCCAAAAAAATAACAAATTTGCAAGCTACATGGTATATATATAATATATATATATACATTTTAATTAGTATATTTACTGAGTTATATGTATTTATAACTTAGTTACTGATTAAAATTATATTTTACAACCGATTTAATACATTTCAAAAGTCCATTTTTATTATGTTATTGAATCTTTATATTAATACTTTATACAAATACTTTATATATTAATACTTTATATACCGTCCTAAGCAGATTGCGCGTATGGAGAAGTGTAAGATTTGAAATAGTTAAAGTGCATATGGAGAAGTAGTGCAAAATATTTATAAAATAAAACATTCATTATTTACGTTCATAATTCGATTTTCAAACACATAGTTGTAATAAAGGTCGAAGAGTTAGAGATTGTTGCCAAATAGTTTTTAAAACCCCGGCTTCGCATGTATAGAATCAATGTGATGTTTTTAAAATTTAAGATATAGTGTTTGGTTCAATTTTGATATTTTCTACTTCCTGGGAGTTATTGAAATAAAATGTCCAGAATCAGGTCTCAGCAAAATACCCAACTTATTTTTCAATTTAGTGTGATCCCCAGCAATGCGGTAGTTCCTCAAAATGTAGACTAACGTGACTTTCAACGACATCATGGCATATGACTTTCCTGGAACAAAATTATTTGATTCAATAGTAATACTACAATACTGTAGAGAACTGTAGACCCTTTTAACTTGGACTCAGTCTTCAGAAATGACAATGCAGCTGCATTTTGATTTTTAATTAAGGATAAATGTAGATGTTTAAGGGCTTCTGCATATACTTACCACCAGGTTGAATATGTGCTCGTTTGTCACCCTTATTCTATAAACAGTTCCGAAGAGTTCCGACAAATGTCTACCCGAGCTGAGGCGCAGCCGAAGGACCGTCGGAACAAATTGTAATGACGGATCCGCAAGTGTACTGAACAACAATTTTTAATACAGTTGCGAAAAAATGAAGCAATTTAATAAAATAATAAAAACACAATAAACTCAACTAACTAATCATTTATTTCTTATAAAAGTTATAATTCACATATACATTGAAATTGGTACAGTTTTTTATACTAACTGGGGAAGTTTTAGGTTGCATATTTACTGTTTGAGACAAACTATTATTAATTTCCTATGATTGTTCATGTATATTTGTCAAAGGTGTTATACAATGGCGTTTGCTAGTTGATGGAATTGGATCTGATGATTTATCATTACCCACGAAGGTAGATGGAAGAACGTTCCATTCAGTATTGTCATGTGTAGGAGACGGACTGTACTTTAAATTAATGGATTGTGTGATTTTTTCCCAGTTTCTAGTTTGTCTTGTAATGAATCAGCAATAGAGCTATCTGCAACCTTGTCTGACTTCCAACCTGCTAGTCGCTTTAAGGACGTCAAATTGGCTCCTGGATCTACCAATAATGTAGCAGAGGTTCTCCTGAAGCTATGCCCAGTATAATACTTAGCATCCGGCAGACCAAGAAACGTAGCTATTTCTTTTGATATATTACCAAATTTGTTTATCCCGATTGCTTGAGCTTTACAATTCCCTTTTTGAAAATTTTTGAAAAAACGGTCAGTTTTTGCTTTTTAGGACCGCTGCTTCATATATTTTTGCACTATTCTAAGAAAATCTCCTTCAACAACAAAGCTTCTCGGTATCTTATTTTTTGTATTCGGAATCTTGATTAGTAGCATTTTTCCATGAGCTTCAATATCTTTTAAACTAAATTGTCATATGTAGGAGACGGACTGTACTTTAAATTAGTGGATTGTGTGATTTTTTTCCCAGTTTCTAGTTTGTCGTGTAATGAATCAGCAATATAGCCTTCTGCAACTTTGTCTGACTCTGTCTGGCTAACTCCTCTCTGCGGCAAGCTCCAACAACGCCAAAAATCAGCGCAACCTTCAAAAAACGGATTTGATTAATATTTTTTTAAAAGAATATATTGACTGTATTTTGCGATTTCATAATCTGAATACTAAAGAAAATATAAGTATTTAATAATACCTTTGTGGCTAAATAACGATCATAGAAAGCTTCGTTCAAAAACCTTTCCACTTCATTCGATGTTAATATTTTCGACATTTTAGTTGTAAAATCGTCGGATTTTCGTTTACGAAAGCATTTAGTTTTGGGTATTCACTTATATCCACGTTGTTCCTGATTTTTAGTATACTTTTTATCATTGAAAACTTTGACCATAACGTAGAAGGTTTTAATTTTGCTGAAAGTTTGGAGAAGTATGCCAACATAACATTTTCTGAAAAACTATTGGCTTTCTTCTCTTCTCTCCAAGCAATAAATTCGTCGTATGTTTTTGAATTTTCCGGTAAATTATTCTCCGTTTTTTTTTTTTTTTTTTTTTTTTTTGCGCCCGAAGCAATTAAAGGGCTACCCTGTACGTAGGGAGGCGGAAAATGCATTACGCATACCACGATAGCCGGTCTATCGTGGTTATGGGGGACTCACTGTCCTACCGGGGACCCTAAGTGATACCCCCTAAAAACCGCCTTTAGGGACAGGCAACCGGCTGATTAAGCTCTATTGTGCCTTATCATGAGCGACCCTCTTTTGGGAAAAGAGGGCGCAGGCGGCTAAGTGCCGCTGAGGGAGTGCCTACGAAGGCAAATTAATGTCAGATATTACAATAATTTTATTTAATTAGAGTTGGCCTGAGCTGCCAGGAGACAGTTCAGGTCGTTTGAAAGTTTATTAGGCGGGTCCGAGAGAGAGTTTCTCGGCCTGCGGACACGATAGCGAGAGGGGGGTGGGGCTGCATAAGAAGCTGCCTCACGAATTAAGTGGTTTGGGTGCGACTCTGAGGCTTTGAAAAAGTTCTCAGAGAGTTTTTTAAGAAATTGCTGAATTGTTGGGAGCTCTAAGTCCCGATGAAGGTCGGCATTGCGGACGTACCACGGTGCGTTCGCAGCTCGACGACAGAATAGGTTCTGAACTATTTGGAGTTCATTTAAAATGTTAGGGTTTGCGTGGGCAAGGACGGGGCCCGCGTAGGACATGACTGGTCGTATACATACCTTATAGAGTGTACGCTTGTTTCGAAGGGACATTTTACTGTGTCGGCCCAACATACTGTTGAGCCTACTCAGATAAAAACGTGCGTGACGGGTTACTCTTTTGACGTGGGGCTTGAAAGTGAGCCCTGTGTCTAGAGTGACACCTAAATATTTGGCGGACGTATGCCAGGGGACAGGGGTCCCTAGCATACGTATTGGTGGAGTGTTTTTGAGACGGCGTCGTTTATAATCGAAGTGAACGGCGGAGCTCTTCTCCGGGTTCACATCGATGCGCCATTTTTTGAACCAAGCTCCTAGGTCATCAACTGACTTTTGGATCTTGTTCCGTATGAAGGGTAGTGAGACACCTTTGCAGTAGATGGCAGTGTCGTCTGCAAAGAGGGAGAGTTGAACACCTTTCGACGGGATGGGAATGTCGTTGGTGAATATGATGTACAGCAGAGGAGCAAGTACTGAGCCCTGAGGGACACCAGCCTTGATAGTTCGCTGTGAAGAGAGCGTGCCTTCGTGTCTGAAACGAAAGATACGATGTTTTAAATAGGAGGCCACGAGACGAACTAGACGATCGGGGAGACCTATTTTATAGAGCTTGTAGATAAGGCCTGTGTGCCAGACTCTATCGAAAGCTTTGGCTATATCGAAAAAGACCGCGATGGTCTTATGACGACGAGGATAGAAACCGCTGAGGATATATTCCACAATGCGGTGAACTTGTTGGGGACATGAGTGTTTGGCTCGGAAGCCGAATTGATGGGGAATGATAAGAGGGTCGCCGTCTGTGGGAAACAGGTAGCGCCTCATACGACTTTGGATGACTCTTTCGAAGAGCTTGCCCATTGCCTTGAGGAGGCTAATGGGGCGATGGCTGGAGGGGGAGGTTGAGAGGCTTGCCTGGCTTGGGAATTCCAATCACAGTAGCCTCTTTCCACGTAGTGGGAAAATAACTAAGGTTGAAGCAGGCGTTGAAGATAATAGATAAAAAGGTTAACACCTGCTCGGGAAAGTGTTTTAGGGCTTGGTTGGAGATGCCATCCGCGCCCGGAGCCTTTTTAGGCTTAAGTCCTTTGATGAGGGATGAGATCTCATCATTGGACACAGAGATAGGTTCAGAGGCCGTGGGGGGGTGAGCTCCGGCGGCGGACCTCATCCTCCACTGCCTGGACGTGTGAGGGGTCAACGGGTTGAGAACTGGGAGAGCATTGAGCGGCAATGCTGTCTGCAAAGCACACAGCCTTTTCCTCGTCCTCGAAGGCAACCGTGCCGTCGGGACGGGAGAGAGGGGGAGTGTGGGTGATAGCGTCTATGCGGAGGGCTCTAGCCATCTGATAGTACGCTGTGTGAGATGGAGAGATATTCTCCATGAGCTTACTCTTTTCGAGGTCTCGAAATACAGAGAGGCGGAAGCGGAGTTCTCGTTGAAGACGATTGGCCGCGCGCCTATATTCGGGGGGTGGGATATTTTGCTGCTCTCCGGAAAGCAGCTTTTTGGCTTTTATTAGGTTGCTAATATGTAGGGGAAGCCCACTATTGTTAGCAACCGGGACGACCCTTTCGTTCTCCTTAAGGGAGGATTTAATAAGGGTGGAGAGTGAGTCGACCGCGGTGTCGATTTTTTCAGGACTATCTAAGTCCGACGGTAGGGAGATGGTAGAGTCCTGTGAGTCCAAAGCTTTAGCTAGGGACTCCTTGAATCCCTTCCAGTTAGTGAATGTTTTCGTGTGTGTTGGGGGAGGTGGCTGATGGCCAAGAATGAGGGAGACCGGTCGGTGATCTGATCCTAGATCGTCTAGTGTCTCGATTGCTCCGAGGTTGAGAGAAACTCCTTGGAGTAACGCAAAATCTAACACATCGGGGGGCGTGATCGGTGTTATCGGGAAAGTGAGTAACACCGAGAGGACTATGGACGGTAATATCAAGAGACTGCGTGATATCGAGCAGTATCTTGCCACTAGGGGACGTAGTGCGGCATGTCCATTCAGTATGCTTGGAGTTAAAATCTCCAAACATAATGACTGAATTGCCTAAAGATAAAATGGCCTCAAAATCCTTTTTAAGGGGATAGGTTCCTGAAGGGATGTAACAGGAGGCTATGAGGATGGACTGGTGTCCAGTCATAGCTAGCCTGCATACCGTGGCTTCCATGTTGGTAAGCTGCGGAGTAGAAATGGGCGAGCAATGAAGTGTCTTCTTGTAATAGATGGCCGTTCCGCCGCCTCGGCGGTCGGGTCTGTCGTTACGAAGAAGAGAGAAGTTTTTAATAGAAAGGCCTCTAGTGTCCTTATCTTTGAGATTGGTTTCCTGTAGGAGGAGGAAATCGACTTCACGATTCCGAAGAAAGAGCTTGAGCTCTGGGAGGTTATTTCGCAAGCCGCGAATATTAAATGATACAAGCGATAAACCCTTAGGTTTGATACGACCGTGAGATCTAGGTAGGTTAATTCTCTCAGTCATTGAAGTTAAGTTAATTAAGTTAACCTAACTTACAACGCTAACAAAAGGTTATTGTGCTCCGCAAGAACGAGGAGACGTTCTTGGGGGGACTTGGCCGCGCGCAGTTTGCGTGATACAACTGTTATTTCCCTGACGTCGA